TATTTATAAAAAATAATAAAAATAAGTTACTTTTGTTAAAAGATTATTATTTTTTAATGTTTTAAAAAAAACTTTAGTTAAATTTTTGTCTGAATGAGAACCTTCAAAATGACAAAATTCAATAGTACATTGTTGAAGTTTCTAATCTTCTGAAATCCAATATGCTGTTATTCTAATAAAAGATTTTTGGTTTTTAGAAGTCCAAATATCAAGAGTATATAAAATTTTGCTTGGTATTTCTTGTAATTTTTTTTGTAAATTAAGTTGTTTATTATTATAAAGTTTAACAATTTTGTTAGAAATAGTATCTGCTGAAGGAATTTTTACTATATTATTAAGTCTTTTAATTATAGTTTGAAAAAAATTGTTTTCTACAACAATAAAAGATTAATTATTAGAAATAATCCAATTAATTAAATCATTATAATAATTTTCTTATATAAATATCTATTTAAATAATAATTTAATTTTTTTAATAAATTTATAATTATAAATTTTTAATTTTAATATCAAAAATATTTACTAATTCGTCTTTTTTAACAAATTTATCCATTGCTCCTATAATTTTTTTAGTTGTTATTATATTTTTATGTTTTTTTTAAGATGTTTTTTTAAAGTAGATGTTGATTTATTTTCTGGTATTTTATATTTTTGACTAAATTATTATTATTAAATATTTTAGTAAAAATTAAATATATTTTATAAAATTTTAAATACAAAATTAATTATTTATCTGCAATAATTATATTTATATTTTTTAATTTTTTTATCTAAACTAAAATGTTGATGAACAGTAGATCTAAAATTTGGTTTATCATCTGTTTCTATATTATTTTCTTCATTTTCCTGACTAATATTAGTTTCATTTTCACTAATATTATCTTCATTAGAGTCAATTTTATCTTTTTCTTAATTAGAACTAATATTATCTAAAATATCATCATCAATAATTTCAGAAATATTATTTTCAATAATATAATTTTCATCTAAATAAATGTTTTCTTCTTCAGATTCCATTTCCAAATTCTAAGAAATTAATAAATTTATTATAAATATAAATTAATTTTTATATTTTTATAATTTAAATATAAAATAATAATAATTATAAAATTTTTTAATTTTGATCAAAAATATTTCAATAAATATTTAATCAAATTTGATAATTTTTTTTTATTAGAATTATATAAATATATAGAATTAAAATGAAAAAAAATCATCAAATTTGATCAGATAATTGTCAAAATACCTTTAATCAAAGTTTTTTAAAAAAATCTGTACATCTATAAATATACATTTATAAAAAATATAAATAATAAATTTTCTCTAATTTTAATCGAAGTTATCTCACCAACTATCTATCCAAATTCAATAATTTTTTTTTATTAGAATTATACAGATGTATAGAATTTAAATAAAAAAAAATTCATTGAATTTGATCAGATAGTTGTCAAGATATTTTCGATCAAAGTTTTTAAAAAAATCTGTATGTCTATAAATATATATTTATAAAAAATAGAAATAATAAATTTTCTCTAACTTTGCTTGAAGTTATCTCATCAACCACTTAACCAAATTCAATGATTTTTTTTTTATTAGAATTATACAGACTTGTAGAATTTAAATAAATAAAAATTTATTGAATTTGATCAAATGGTTATCAAGATACTTTTGATCAAAGTTTTTAAAAAAATCTATACATTTATAAATGTATATCTATAAAAAATATAAATATTAAATTTTTTCTAACTTTGATCAAAGTTATCTTACCAACTATCTAACCAAATTTAATAATTTTTTTTTATTAGAATTATACAGACTTGTAGAATTTAAATAAAAAAAAATTCATCAAATTTGATCAGATAGTTGTTAAGATATTTTTGATCAAAGTTTTTTAAAAAATCTGTATGTCTATAAATGTATATCTATAAAAAATATAAATAATAAATTTTCTCTAACTTTGATCGAAGTTATCTTACCAACCACCTAACCAAATTCAATGAATTTTTTTTTATTAAAGTTATACAGACTTGTAGAATTTAAATAAAAAAAAATTTAATGAATTTGATCAGATGGTTGCCAAGATACTTTTAACTAAAATTTTTAAAAAAATCTATACATCTATAAATGTACATCTATAAAAAATATAAATAGTAAATTTTCTCTAACTTTAATCGAAGTTATCTTACCAACCATCTAACCAAATTTAATAATTTATTTTTTTTATTAGAATTATACAGACTTGTAGAATTTAAATAAAAAAAATTCATTGAATTTGATCAGATGGTTGTCAAGATACTTTCAATCAAAGTTTTTAAAAAAATCTGTACAAATATAAAAATATAAATTATAAATTTTTTCTAACTTTGATCAAAAGTTATTTTACCAACTATCTAATCAAAATTCATATAATAACAATTTAAATATGTAGTAATTAAGGGGTGTGGTGACTTAGTGAAGTGGATAAGTTGTCAATCCCCAAGTGGTAGATTGAGAGTTCAAAACTTACTGACAGTAAAAATTTGGAAAACCACCTATGTTACATTAATATATACAGGCATCTGTGCAATGTTAGAGTTACACAGAGAAATGCAAACTGGCATTGAGCAGTGCAAACACAAGATAAGTCCTTGAAACTGATAATACGACAATGGCTATCTATCGATCAGTTGGGATCAGTACTTGTAACATGGTCACATCAGATAACTAACAGGTTATGGGGCATCTGTGGCTATGTAAATCTGTAAACTGGGATAACCGAAGCCCACTTGGAAAAACCTGAGTAGAGAAATAACATGGATCTTCGACAGTACTACTGTAAAGACTAGACCTAGAAAATGGATACCAATGCAGAAGAAATCGGGTGGGCAAGAATCTCAGGTAAGAGGTACTACCAACCAGGCTACCGGAAGTCTTAAACCAGAGGAAAAAGACCTTGGGAGGCAGACCCTGGGGTACTAGGGACAGGTCACAGTCCTATCAGGCTATCTGGATTGGAAGTCTGAGGTCAGAAACAGGAATATACTAAAAGTACTAGGAATATGCTATGAAGTCAGTGCTGGAGTCTGGATGAACTCTGCAAGAGCAAGCCCTGTTAGCAAAGATTAAATATGGGTAGTTAGTTAGCAGAAGGGCCCTCTGGAGCCTTATAGTTAAGTGATGTACTCTGAAATATGTAATGGCTTGACAAACTTATAAACAGGGAGGTCAAGGTTAGGTTAGACAGCATCTAATTAGATGTATAGGAGCTTGTGCTGCTATCTGCTAGTGTGTAATCTTGTATAAGTTATGTAATCATAATTGAATTCACAATAAAGGCAGTAGCTGCCATAACTAAAAGCCCTTAGCAAAAGCAAAAAAAAAATATGTAGTAATAATATAAGAATTTAATATATACTTGCAATAATTCTGTAATAACTTAATTTGATTAAAAAGTTTATTTAATATATAAAATAACTTTAAAAATTTAACATTACAATAAAAACAAATTTAATATTTATATAATAATATAGGTTAATATAATGTGCAGATAGATTAAATAATTATTATTTTTAGTTTATACACAATTCAATTTATTTTAAATATATGTTAATAATTTTCCTTATATGTATTCTAATACTATAAAATGCAGAAAAAAAAACTAATCAAATAAAAAATTTTGGGTCAGGTCGGTTCAGGTTCGGTTCGAGTTAATTCTTAACCCAAACCTGATCTGAAACTTTCAGATCAAAAATTTTTAACCCAAACCTGACTCAACACAAAATTTTGGGTCAGGTTTTGGGTTAGCCCAACCTGATTTGAAGCACTAGTTACAAATCAGACCAAAAAAATGCAATTGATTAATAATCAAAAAATTTTTTAAAAATTGATTAAAAATTAATTATAACTAACTAATTAATTTATCAGTTCAATTAGTCAACTAGCTAATTAGTTGGGTTTTTTTTTTTTAATGTTAATATGAGTATTTGCAACCCAGAATTTTATTAATAATATGTTTCAGCTTTGTAATTGTATTACAACAGTTACAAAAGACAACTATAAGAATGTACAACTAGTCATTTGTACAACTTTAGTTATTGTATAATTTAAGTAATTTGTTTAAAAGTTTTATATTAGTTATTATATTTAGAATCATCTATCTGCTATAAGTATTTTATTTAAACATTCTGGTTTCTGTATTTATTTATTTATCTATCTTATTAACTGTTTTGGTTTTTTTTTCTTGGTATTAAGATGACCTCTTTGGTCTTTTGACTTTTATTAATCACTTATCAGTATTGTGGTTCAATGAACCACTACAGGAGAGCATACAATTGGTTACATGTATAACTTTTCTATATTACCTATTTAAGAAGTTTGCCTAAAGGTTTCTTACTAATTGCTATACCTAATATCTCTGCTTGGATGTTCCACTTTAAACTCTCTAAACCTGTAATCTGTATTAATATCACTGGGTTATCTCAGATGCTCAGATCATCGTCTCAATCTTAGGACTAATTTATTCTCAAGATAAACCCTTTAAAGCCTTCTATACTCATTTTTACAGTTGACCTAGGTATCGTTATAGCAGAACCAACACTTGTGGTTAGAACTAACTATTAAACTGCTATGTCTTTGTAAAGTTCACACAAACCCTAGCATCTACTTCACAGCATATTTGAAATACTTTAGTATACTTCTGCTGGTTCATCAAACTCCTAATCCAGATAGCTCGATAGAACTTACGACCGGTCTATTGGTATATCAGATCAGCCCAATATCCTTTCCTCCAGCTCGATCTGGTAGCCTGGTTAGTGATACCCCCTATCTAGAGATTTTTGCTCATCCGGCTACTTTGACCTTGATATCTGTTTCATAAGGCTAGCCTTTACAATAGGGCTATCGAAGATCTAGTTACCTCTCTACTCGAGTCTTCTCAAATAAACTTCTTGTTACCCAATTTCAATGAATTTATATAGTTACAAGGACTGTCTTGGTTTTTACTAATACAAATATGTTATAGTTATTAAGTTTTAAAACAGTTTACTTATATAAAGAACTTTTGATCTTATATCAAATCTATCAAAGTCTTTTGTTTTTTGTTTTTTTTTTACTTCTTAAGTAGTCATACTAGTACTTTATTAAGATTTTGAAATTATATTTGCAATTATATAAATATTCTTAACAACTAAGCTTAATATTACCCATAGTATCTAAGTGCAACCTGTTACATTACTTTAAGCAAAAGTAAGTTGCTCATTTGACTACTTAAAGTTCATAATAAAAAGTTTTTTTTTATAACAAGTTCTAAAATTGTCTTTTGTATTTCTTTTTTGATTTTTTCTTTTTTTCTTTTGCTTTTTTTTTTTCTATTATTTGTTAATTTGGGGGTTTTTTTTTGATATGTTTCTCTCTTTTTCTTTTTTTTTTTTTATCTTATCTATTATTTCTTCATTTTTTTTTATTTATTGATTTTTTCATACTAAATTTTTTATACTTGTTTATAAAATATATTTTAGGCTGTTCTTGTTATTATATTTATAAACTGCTACTTTGATTTTGTGCTTAGAAGTTGCCTCAATCTGTTCTGTATTTTTTTTGAAATAAAATTTTTAATTAGTATCTCTCTTATTTTAATTTTTTCTGTTTTTGTTTTTCCAAAAAGTATTGTATATAATATATATAGAGGGATTTAGACTTTTTCTTCTTCTTTTAACCTCTTCTAGACTGTTATGATAATTACTTTTTGGATTCTTTTCTAAAGATTCTTTTGTCTTTTATATACTACTAAAAATGCTTGTATTTCTTTTGTTTTATCTTAACATACTTGGCACTTCATTGTTGTATATATATCTGGTTTTCTTTTGTTAAGTTCTTCTAGAGTTAGAAGTTTATTCATTATGAATTTTATAAATGCACTTCTTTTAGTACTACTTCTTTTTATTGTACAATGTACTTCTTTAGATATTTTTAATTTTTTTTAAAAGTATATCTAATTATAAATTATAACTTTTGTTTTTGGTTCTAATTCTCTAATTGCT